GGGAAAAGGATGTTTTTTTCTTGCACGTGTCAAAGGCTATGTTTTATTTTCCTCAATCGGGGGAGCTGGCACAGATGAAGAGCCTTTTTCAATGGGATCAAAATTCTTCTTTAATTGCTTCTGTGATAATCATAATCTTTCTGTTAACAGGCATTCTTCGTAACTGCTGTGAAGCCTACAATGTTGGTCTCCTAGAAGCAAAAATATTTTCTGGTCCATCGAGAGAGCAGTTTGGATATGCAGTTCAACAGTTTATAAATGAACAAGGCAAATGGTAAGCAGTTTGAACGGCTAGTTTTATGTCCATTTGAAAGATTAAGGAAAGAATGTTGAAACTCGTTTTTCTTTTATAATCCTGTATTTCATTTAAATGTGTTACATTTATTTCCTTTTTACGTTAGAGTTATCGTTTTATGAATAAATACTCATGTTATTAAAACAAATGTTGAAATATTCTTAAGACAGGCATGTGAAGGTTCAGGCTTTTCTCCTCTACTCCATGCAGTCTGAGGTCTTATCTTTTACTTTCATCTCCAATACACCAATTTCCTCAGACTCACATTTTCTGTATAATTTTAACTATCTTTTCACCCCTTCCGGTACCAATAGGATCTTTGTTACACATTATTTATATATGGGAAGTATTTCCATTTTAACAGTGTTGGGTTTAAGACAAATTATTAGGGCTGGGAAGTTCTAATTAATATTAAAATTAAGTTAACTTATATTTATGTAATTTTGCATCTGATAGAGTATTAAGTGTTCACTTCCCAAGGGACGGCATATTTGGAGGTATATAGTAACACAATCCTAGTAAAGGCCCCGTGTCCAGCACATCTCTTCAGGCATAAAATTTGATGTGAAATCTACTGTTGCCACAACACTGGGCTTGATGAGTAATTAGTAAAATATTTTTTCTAGTAATGTTGGTTTCAAAAAGAACTTTGAAATATTAAACTAGAGTAAGCTCATTTAGTGGAAAAACCATTGTTTCCTCTTCTGCAGCCTCAGCAACCACAAAGCTTAAGCTGTTTTTCATGACAAGGACTGTATGTCTATAGATAGTGCAGTGTTACTCAGGTACTTTAAGTGTTTATTTGTGTATACATGGTTTTAAGTCTATAGCGGAAAGTCACACAAGTTAATGTATATTATCATAAGCCAAGACATTTTAGATGCGTCATTCTTCATAAACTGACACAGTGTCAGAACCAAAATAGCCACCAACTGGCATCTTTTCTTTGGTGATGATGGACAGACATTAAGTAAATGAACTTTTTTCAGTAAAAAGAAATTAAGGTGTCAAAATCTGAAATCCAAGGAAATGCATTTTACAGTTAAAGTTTGGAAAAACCCATACAAAAACACTGAGTTAGCTGAGACATTTATGCATAATTCTGCACAGAGACACTGTGCATTTGCAATTGGTTGCATATGCGAAGATGTAAGACTACCTAGATCTCACTGCGTGTCCAGCGAGGTGGACTGTTTACCACCAGTGACCAGGAGGCGAGCAAGAGGAGAGCAGAGATGTATTCTCCAAACTTAAGAACATGGCATTTCCTCTCCCTCTCTTAGGTAGGCTCCCAACCTACCCCCACTCCTTGCCTCATGTTGTGGTGGCTTCTCACTGCCTGCATTAATTACGCGTTTAGTCACCCATAGATCAGAGCTCCCTTTTCATACAACTTCTGTGTAAAGCCATAGAAGGAGAACGAGAATATCTGCCTGCCGTGAATCAAATGCCTTGGGTCATACACAGAGATACTATGTCCTGTGTTTTTTCTTTCTGTAAGTTTTTCTATAAGCTTGAAACAGAAGCACTAGGTTCCAGGCTGACTCAAACAATTTATGTTTCATATTTCCCTGTTTTATTTTCACTTTTGATGTAAAAAATCTTCCACTCCCACTTTCTTGGATAATGTGAGTTTGGGAAGAAAAGTAACTTTGGATTAAATTTACCTACCCTCTCCCAGGTAGATGAATAGTACGAATCTGGGAAACTTTTCTGTAGGTAGGCACTTAATCACATCTGAACATATCTCCAAAAGTCAGGGTAATTTTATCAGCTGTTGTTCAAATAACCATGACTTGTTGAAGATTCTTAAGTGAAGAAAAGTTCTTTCAGGCTCTGTATCAAGAAATTATTAGACGATCTTAAAAAATAAAACAGCCAGTCATGGTTTAATGTCTTGTTCTTTTCATTTCTAGGCTATTTTCTTTTTCTTTGGACAATAGAGCTTTTTCTTGTATGCATAATTAAAAAGAAACAAAACAACACTCAAGCTGTTCAGTGGAGTTTCTCCTATAAGCAATGCAGAGGCTGCAGTCTACGTGCAGACCACTTGTTGACGTGGCTGAACTAGGAGTGAGATAAACAGTCTGAGCTTTGCATAAGACTGGGACACTGCTTACTGTCGGAGGGGAGCATGTATGACCATATGCTTTGATGAAGAGACTGTTGTGCAGCAAGAATGTGATGCATTTGAAAACCCTTTTCAGGCGAAGTGGGGCTGTTCGCCACACCAAATGCTGCTGTGGTGACACCTCTTTCCGAGTAGGAGGTTGTCTGAGATCCACCAGAAATTTCATCGCAACCTAGACCTTGCTTCTGTTAATAAAATCACGTGGTGCTATATTAAATACAGATTTAAAAATCCTCCAGTACTCTCTCGAAGGGCAGAAAGGATACATAAAGAAAAACCAGCAGATGATTAACAGTAGATTAACATGCTAATGTTAATCAGCTGTACTTCTGGGAGGTATGCCTCCTGAGGCAATCAGAGCTATAGAAAGCAATAGAGAGAGGAGAATTTTTTCAGAATTGGGACTGCATGCAGCAGTATATTATCACTTTTGCTTGGAGACGAGCTCAGAGAGAGGAGAGTCCAACCAGGAGCACAGGGCTATAGAGGTGGCTGGTACGTGTTGGGAAGCTGTGACACAAACCAGCAAGGGACCCCTTTTTGTCTGATGTCAGATGACCCAGGATAATTGGACACTGGTCTGCTGTGCATTGATGGCATGTGATGCTCGTAAATAAGGACAAACTCGCAAGTCAAACACAGCTCAAGCTTTTCATGGTGTCTGGTGGGAATTTTAAAACAGGAGCTCTTTAATGAACTCAAGGAAAATTGTAAACACCAAAGAAACTCATCAATTAGAAAAGCTTAGGTAGTCCACCACACAAGTAATTAGCCACAACAGAAACATCATTCAGTTTACGCTCTGGTTCTTCCTGTCACGAGATCATCTGTCTTTGAACCTTAAATGAGACCAAATTCTCTGTTATTTTTTAAACATACTCCTTTAGAAAGGTGGATTGTACCCTGTCAAGTTATTCGTGAACAGAAGCTGGTAGTACATTCTGCAGAAAACAGTATTTATTCCATGCTGAGATTTGGTTTTATGTCTGCCTCAGGTGAGGAAGAGATATATATATCTTATATATATATATATTTTTACAGCTGTATATAGCTGTAAAAATGTTTTTTCCTACCCATGTGTGTCTTCAGTCTGTGGATACATCCCACAACAGAACTAAAATCTAAAGTCTGCTGTTGAGGTACTGTTTGGTGTCAAGTTGCAGCCACCCTGCTCAGTTGAATCTGCATGCTTAGGATTTGGACTTTCTGAATTTTGTTTCGGCATTTATGTTATGGGACTTCTTAAAAATATTTTGTTTCATTCCATATCATGTCAGTAATGACACCTTAATATGCACTGCCCTTACTGATATATCACATAATTGTTGCACTACTAGTTTTAAAAATCATTGCATACCGCTCATGATTCATCAAAGCCCAGCAGCCTTTCCCCTGAGGTGTGTTGCCTCTTCAGATCAGTAAAATACTGTGCCAAAAAGACACCTTTCTGCAGCAACTTTTGTTGAAATCAATACATTTTCAAAGCCTTCTGATTTTAATGAGAGTAATTTCTGCCAACTTTTTTTTTTTTTTTTTTTTTTGAGCAGAATGCTGCCATTGTTACAGCTCTGTCTTTTCAGTGCCAGCACCACTGCTACTGTTGAGTTCTTTGGCCGGCTTTTGCTTCCCTCGACTGCCTGCCCTGCAGTTTGCTTTTTCCCTGCTTGGAGAAGCAGCTCTGGCTTCTGTCTTCTAGGCCTTTAGTCCGTCCAGCTCTCTTGCCATAGCTCACTGTAGTTTTTTGAAGTTTTCAGTCCTTTGTTCAAAGGATCGAAAGTCTTAGATGGTGATAAGTGGTTTAGGGTGTGCAGAGAAGCATTGAAGACTTTTCTGGCCT